AAAAAAAAAAAAAAAAAAAAAAAAAAAAAAAAAAAAAAAAACGAAAAACTAGTTTAAGCATGCAAATGTGTACTCGAAAAAATTAATATGGCAATCCAGAGATTACGTAGATATACGATACAGAGATTGTAATTTCCAATTAAAACTTTACAGCCAGTTTTAATAAACGATTTCCTCCGTGAATGGAGGTGCCCTTGGATTGGGATCTACGATACAATTGGGTAATTTCCAATTTCGAACGAATGATCGATAAGTATCATCGCTGGTTACTGGTTTAGACAAGATCTCCGTTTAAAGTTGACTCGGTGTTCCATTGATTGGTCAGTGAGTTGGAGAGGAAACGAGAGCTAGAATATATCGCAGAACCACGTAACAGCAAGCAAAGCTACGTCTCGGGCTCGAACTATACACGTCTTGCGAAACCGTTCGTCGTTGACTGGCATCGTTACTTGGTCGTGATCGTGGTCGTAATCAAGAGTCAAAGTCAAGGTCGAGACCGAGGCGAGAGAAACACTTATGCAACTCTTGTTGTCTACCGTTCGCCGCAACCGTGTCCGCGGCAAGGAAAATGGTGGGGGTCGGTTGCAGCAGCAGCACGGTGACCGACCACGCCGGCAAACAGGTATGAAAGAACTGTTACGTATTCCCGAGAAAACTTAACGTCGCGAGAAGCTGACGCGAACGCATCGCGCTAATAAACCTTCTCCCTCGACACGGCCACGATCAATTAATCTTTACGTCGTCCTCTTGACACACCGCTCCGATCGTTTTTAGAAACCGTAGTAGGATAACTCCTGGACGGAGTATCGTGCTCACGTGTTACGAGGTCATTCGGTTTTTAACGACGAGTATATCTAAGTTTCTCAGAGCTCCACGTGTTGCGTTGGTCAAAGTTTGCGACGAAGAATGGCGTTATTTCAATCGGAGGGATTTAAATAGCTTCCAGAACATACAGCGATAAACATAACTCAATATAACAGTAGTTAAAAAGGAACTAGTACGGAATATACCTCGTTTTTGAAGGCGTAAATATTCTGTAATTGCATATAATAAATTTAAATTTTTTTTTTGCTACACTTGTACGTATCGTAGTTACCTTTTACTCGCCTTTTCCCGCACTCAAAGGAAATAAATTTAAATAGCGTTGGGAGTTGAAGGTCCTGAAGGAAAGAGAAGTAAAAGTACCGACACAATGAACGATGGGAGGGAAATTTTCGGCCAATAGACGTCCTTGCATTTAAGCTTTTAGGTCTAACAACCAATCAGATCCGTAGAATCTTTTCAATAGTATAGCTATGTAAGGACTGGTAATTGTACTTTGGATAATTTTATATTTTTATATATAATTAAGAAAATTAAACCCTAAGTAGAAATTTTCCGCTACTAAATATTATATTAGATCGAGTCATACGAAATATGCGAATTTTTATATAAGAAATTTATGTTGGATATTCATGATAATTACTTTCAACATTTTTCCAACGGGAAATTCTAATGAAAAAATACTCTTTTCGGAAAAGTTTTGATTTTTAGAAGCGATCAATTCATCGAAGACTTTCTGATATAAGAATGATAATTCCGAATTTTTGAAAAAAATGAAAAAAAAAATTGTTGGATCTAAGAAATAGGGACGGTGAGGGATGCATTACAATATAATTTGAATTATGCAAGCAAAAAGTACGAATATGCAGGATAATGAACATATTTATAGAAAGCTTGTTAGGAAAAAATAAAATTCATCTTTTTCTGAACACAGAGAAAATTTTCTAAAGACAGCAAAATATCTCCAATCAAAAGATAGTGTTGAAGCTCAGATAGCTTCAAGAAACGTGGTCGATGTATTCTCCATCGAATCGCGAGGCGATTATAACAATCGTAATTTTTATTAGCATGATTATTCGGTAAATCCAGAATATTATGATTGAAGCTAACTGTTCGCCCACTTTTTCATGTTGGTAAAAAGTCTTAACATCCGCCACGCTCGATCACGGTTAATAATCTTTTATCATTCCCGGTCGTTTGTTTTGTTTAGAGTGTTCAAAAGCGATTGACGTCGGATCATAACACAATATGCGAATTAACGCTAGATCCGAGAGATCGAACAGCCCATACTTCAAATTGATTAGTGGCAATTCGCCAGCCAACGGGTTATACGTCAGATATACGTAAAATATTCGCATATATATAGAGGCAGATATATGTCATATATAAACAGATAGTCGTGAGATAATCGTCAGAATGCATAGATAGTAGATCCGCGCAGAAATACAGATCCACTTTTAATTTAAAATCGATCATTGATTACGGGAAACGTCTGCACGAAATGAAGTTTGAGTGCAGACAACCCGTTTGAGTCAATCCCAACCATAAGCGGATGCGACACAACGGATATCATCTGAACAAAGCAAATGTTGAATGAACAATCCAACGTTTCATATGACATGACCTAATAACAAATACTTCATCTGCCTTTGATTGTTTTATATATTTTTGCGTATTGTTCTCTGAATTTTTGCATCTTTAAACTGTTACAACGAGGTTCAATGATAATTAAATCATATAAATAAAAGTGTCCTTATACTGTTCACAAAGACTTACAGAGAATTTGTTATTTCTTTATATATTTATACGTTATTGCAAATGTCTCGAGAATGTCTAGCTGCAAACAAGAAAACACGTAGAAAATTTCATTATAAACGTAATTTCGATGCTCGTGGAAAGCATTACGATCAGATTTTCATCAAATATTTCCAATAGTTTTAGGTCTATAAAACGTATATAAATCAAGGTTACTTGCGAAATATCAAAAGTAGATCAGGTACTTTTTCTACATTTTTTTATCTTTTCTTGACTAAAATTCATAATTTCGTGAAACTTCGTATGTACACGAGGATAATTGTTCGTTCACTTATCAGAATCGACGTACATAAATGCAAATGAATACATAAATGCAAATAACATTTCCAAGGAGTTAAAATTTTTATAAGAATAAATATATACTAGACAGAGAAACTTGGAAATATACTTTTGCGAGCGAAACATATATTTTCAATTTTGTCCATCTTCGACGATGCGCACTTTTCAACTATCGAAGTCTTGCCCAACTTTATATATTCAATGGTTGGATTATTAATTAAACAGCAAATGCTGCTAACAACATTGAAAACAATGTGCAAGTAAAAATACTTTTGATAGTTTTAGATTTATACAGTTTTAGGTTTATAAAGTGTATACAAATTATTTATCAAGGAATTTGTAAAATATCAAAAGTAAATCAGATGTACTTTCTCTACATTTTTTTATCATTCTTAATTTCGTGAGACTTCGTATACGAGGAAAATTGTTCGCTCACTTACCAGAATCGACGCACATAAATGCAAATGAATCGATGAATACGTTACATGCCTCATAGAAAGAGTACATCATTGCACAATAACACATGACGCTTCCAAGGAGTTGAAATTTTTATGTAAAAGTAAATATATACTGTACAAAAAACTTGGAAATATGAATATGGAAATATGAATGAACTTGGAAGTTTGAAAGTTCGTCTATCTTCAACGACGCGAAAATTCTTTAACTGTCGAGGACTCGAGTCTTGTACACTTTTATATATTTGATGGTTGGATTATTAACTAAGCAGCAAATGCTGACCATGAAAACAATTAGCAGATAAAAATGCGCACAGATATGCGAATGATGGAAAGCGAATTAGGCATGCTGCGATTTAGAGGATACCTGAGATTTAAAACAATACAAGATTTACAGAAATTTTACGAAAGTTGCTGTACACCATTAACTCAGTCGTTGTTCATTCGTAGTGAATTTCTTACGTCATTTATTATTTCATTTGCACAAACAATAGTTTGAACGACCAAAGTCTCGGCCTTGGTATCCGCTCAACATGATGCGAATCTACAAGAAACAATCAGAGGATTAACACTTAACGTACCATTACTGGTGAAATGACCGGTTTCAAAATTTAATTGAAGATTGTACATTTATTTATTGTTATTTCTCTTGTTGTTAACTTTATGTAAATTCT